CCCGCTTGCTCTCATCTACCTTCCTCCTGTCCAGTGTAGTTCAGGGCCACTGCCTAGACTGTGGGTGCTGCCCATAGAGGACAATCTACGGTCCACCACAGACATGCTCATAGACCAATCCAATAAAGACAGACTCTCTTCCCAGGCACTTCTAAGTTGTGGCAAGTTGACATTCAAAACTAACCATCATAATTAACTCAGACAAGTATTGTAAAATTAAAGTAAGTTCTATGAAGCACTTGGCACATGGTTGATATTCAACAAAAGTATTGCTTTGTACCAGTGAAGAAGAGGTGGGCTAAATAAAAAGAAGGAAGCACTAAGAGTACTCTAAAACAGGTCTCTCTCTCTCTCTCTCTCTTTTGTAAATAATTTGTTTAATGTTTACTTTATGTGCGCTGGTGTGAAGGTGTCAGATCCCCTGGAGCTGGAGTTACAGACAGTTGTGAGCTGCATGTGGTTGCTGGGAACTGAACCTGGGTTCTCTGGAAGAGCAGCCAGTGCTCTTAACTACTGAGCCATCTCTCCAGCCCCAGGTCTCTCTTTTTTAAGGTTTAAGGTTTACCAGCCTTTACCACTGTTAATTTTGCAAGTCAGAACCATCGAGTCTGTTACATCAGTGTTCAGCCATTACTACTATCCATCTTCAGAGACCTTTATCCACCTCTGTGTACACTGCCACACGAAACCCACCTGCCCTGCTCCCAACCCCACCATTCTGCTTTCTGTGTCTATATAGTATGTCTTTTTGTTTGTTTTGTTTGCTTGGGTTTTTTTTGTTGTTGTTGTTTGTTTTTGTTTTGTTTTGTTTTGTTTAGGTTTGGTTTTTTGAGGAAGGGTTCCTCTGTAGCTCTGACTGTCCTGAAACTCGCTCTGTAGACCAAGCTAGCCTTGAATTCTAAAACCCACCTGCCTCTGCCTCCTGAGTGCTGGAATTAAAGGTGTGCACCACTGCACCCATCTTGTAGTATGGTGTGTGTGTGTGTGTGTGTGTGTGTCTGTGTCTGATTTAGTTTACTTAACACAGTGCCTTCAGGGTTTACCCATGTTGCATGGATGTATGCATGTATCAGAATTCCCTCCCTTTTTAAAGCAGAATACTAGTCTGTCCTATGGAATTCCACATTTTGTTTATCCATCATTTGAGAGTGGCCACTTGGTTTGCTTCTATTTTTTTGCCCACTGTGACTATTGCAGATATGAGCATGGGTGTATAAATGTTTCTTGAGTCTCCGCTTTTAGTTGTTCCTCCCCCCCCCCCTTTGGTATATACCCAGAAATTGAGTTGTTGAGTCATACAGTAGTTCTATTTTTGCTTTTTGAGGAACTCCCACACAGTTAATACACCCAGTGGACTATTTGATAGGGAAGTATAAGCAATGGAGTTCCCCCAAGGAATAGTATGAAAACCAGTCTTGCTTAACATGTTATAAGTTGCTTAAATATGAAATTTTTACTATTAAATTTTATTTTCATGTAGATATATATTAGTGTATAATATGGGTAATGTATATTGTATAGAATTTAGGAAAGAGAGGGAGAAAGCAGAGAAGTGGTTATTAAAACTTAATAAAGCCAGGTGTCGGTGGCACACTCCTTTAATCCCAGCACTCGGGAGGCAGAGGCAGAGGCAGAGGCAGAGGCAGAGGCAGAGGCAGAGGCAGAGGCAGAGGCAGAGGCAGAGGCAGAGGCAGAGGCAGAGGCAGAGGCAGAGGCAGAGCGAGTTCCAGGACGGCCTCCAAAGCTACACAGAGAAACCCTGTCTCAAAAAAACAAAAACAAACAAAAAAACGGAATAAATGGTTACATTTAAAGGGTTCCTCCATTATGTTACAAAAGGACAAATCCCAGTTACATGTGTTAGTGCCTTCTTTCTGGACACAGGGAACTTCTTGTATCAAATGCATGAAAGCATGCAGATTTTTTTTTCAACTTCTTGGTATCAAAGAATAAGTTGACACTTGAGACTGGACTGGAGGTCAGTGATCTAAACTATGACTCTGTCCCATGGGAGATTTTTAGAAATGTCTGAGGACATCCTAGCTGGAGGGGAGCTGCAGCGCATGAGACACCAGAAACATGCTATAGTACCCAGGAAAGCTCAACAAAAGATTGTCTCAGGGGCTGGAGAGATTGCTCAGTTGGCAACAGCACTTACTGTGCAAACATGCAGACATGAGGACATGAGTTCAGGTCACATGACCTGCAACCCCAGCACTGGAGGGTAGAGATGAGAGGATCGCTCCAGTTTTCTGGATGCCAGCCTACCTACCTACCCACCCACACACACACATACACATCATCTCAAGGCTAAGATACCTTGCTTCAAATCCAAGTTACCTTCTTAGCCTTGTCTTTAGTCTCCCTCTTATATAAACTTCTTATATAATTTATATAAATTTCTTATACAAAGCTGCAGTTCCATCCTGTAGCTAAATTGCTTTTCTCAGGGCCTTTTCTGGCCTCCTGTGGGGCCTCCAAAAGTTCTACACTTTCTTGACAACAGAAGGTAGTACTTCCTACATTCCTGCTTTGACAAAAAATAATTACAAGTCTTGTTATGATTTGGTTTGGAATTTGAAGTGCCAGGTTGGATCTGGTGGGACCGGCCTATAATCCCAGCCAGTTGAAAAATGAGACAGGAGGATTTTGAGTATAGGGCTGTCCTAAGCCATTTAACAAGAATATTTCTCAAAAAGATAAGCCCTAGGGATATTGGTCAACTATGCTTATCTAGCATGCACATAGCTGTGGGTTGTGTTCCCATGGCTGTATACCAGTTATGGTGGCACATACCTGTAATCCTACTGCTTGGGAGATAGCACCAGGAAGATCAGAAGTTCAAGGTCTACATAGCAAGTTCAAGGTCAGTCTGAGATACATGAGTCAAACATTAATGTTAAAGTTGAAGGGGGGACTGGGAAAAACATTTGCACAAGGCCCTAGGTTCAAGCCTCAGTATCACAAAGGAATGTGAAGTACCACCCTGTAGGCCCCATCGAACATATCTGCCTTCATCCACCCAGGACTTTCTCTGGCAACTCTCCTGTCATCCTGTGTAGTGGTTGGATCGCCTCTGCTCCAGCTGTACATCAAAATTTAACTTTGCTTAGAGAACCACTGAGCGGGATTTGGTCTCAAAGCTGGACCTACTTAATGCCAGACAGTATGATGACAGTCAATTGGGTGTTAGGAAAGCATCTCTTCTTGTATAGAACCCAGTATATAACAGGCACCAGCCAAGGCATTTTATGTCTAGTTTTCCATCTAGTTATCTTACCCAGATATTTACTCCTGTAGTTTTGGAAGGAAGCTGAAGCTTTGAGAATAGAATTTGCCAAAGACCACTTAGCTCTAACAACAGCAGGGCTAAAATTTAAACACGACCTGAGTGCAGCCTCTGCTACCACCTCATTGTTTCGAGGATACCAACCCCCATCCCCACCCCCACCCCTCGCCATTGATAATAAAAGACCCCAAAGCCATAGAGACACCTTGTGGTCTTACTAGTGAGGTGGCTGAGTTATGGATCTGCTGCCATAAGGACCACGCTTCAATAGCTCAGGGATTGAAGGGAGCCATGGAGTCAGGGACTGATCACACGATTGACTTTTCTATCTGAGAGAGTAAAACTTAACTCTCTGGGGCTGGTGAAAAAGACCCACATGTGTACACACACACACACACACACACACACACACACACACACACACACACACACACTCCCTCCCTCCCTCCCTCCAACGTGTCAGGATCTCACCTAGGGTGCTGGTGAATGGCAAGCCTTCAGCAGGTCTGAAGAGGAGATGCAGAGCAGGCAAACTACTGGACAGATAAACAGACACATGAGGACTTCTCTGAGGGCCAAAGCATAGCTCTTCGTTTTATTATTCTTTCTGTTGCTTGTTCTACTCTATTCCTTTTCTGTTCTGTTCTTCTACCCTGGTGTTTCCCTTCTTGTTGTCTTTATTTTTTTCCCTTACAACCTATCTACCCCAGCAAAACCTTTCAGCACTGTAAAAATCACAATTATGTTTACAGTCTATTTTTAAGTGAATGATTATAATGAATACAAGTAAAAAAACACATTTCCCATCTATCTCCCTTACATAATTTAAACATTTTACATATTACAGTGAAAAAAATTTCCCCAAGAATTCACATACAATTAACTTATCTTTTAGACTTCTTATAGATCAGGAGTCCATAACTGTTTACATAGGTTTTTATAATTGCCAGAAAAACGGGTTATTTGTTTTACTTTTTATATTAGAATCATGTCTAATTATCTTAACTAACCATCTAATTCTTTGGTTTTTAGTTACATGAAGTCAATTGTTTAAATCTTCCTTTTACCTATGATGCACCAAACCCACAAAGAAGTTGAGCTAACTCCTGGGACTCAACTGTTTTCCTTAATCATTAACCTAAGCCGCAGTCTATATAAACCCTCAAGTAAAACTCTCAAGACTTAGCTGCATGATCCTTTCTTTTTCTTGTTTTCTATCTTCTGTAGCCTCTGCCTTATCAGGGATGGGGGCAACACCATATCCTACTTTTACCTATATTAATGTTCCCACTAAACTAACCTCTGTCATCCCTTACTACATTTGTTAAAAATCCTATTTAAACTAACACTATCACTGTATAAAATCATAACTTAAATTAAACATATTAAGAGGAAATCATCTTCGTAGTAATCCCCAGATAAAAATGTTCAGTCGATATTTCCACAAGATAATGCATTTTTGCTGCTGCCATTTTCTCTGGCATCTAGCATGTAAAGGCATGGCAGTAACAAGAGACATTCTGGAGCCAAAGCCCTCAGGGCCTTGTGAGATTTGCCCATCTCAGTGCCTTGCATTCTGGTGAGCCGACTTCTGCTGCCCCTCTGACCTGGCCACCAGCATGGATCCGAATGTGGCCTGTCTGGCCCCTCTGCTGCCGCCACCAAAGGAGCCACTGTGCTGTGCTGAGTCTTCTTGTTGCCTCTCTTTTAGGTGCACTACATCCTTCAGGAGGTGGTGATGGGTGGGATGGTGCTGGAAACAAACATGAATGAAATCGTGGCTCAAATTGAAGCTCAGAACAGGTTGGAGAAGTCAGAGGTAAGGAAGAAGTTGTACTCATGCCCTGGCTGTGCAGAGAGCACTGAGCAGAGGAGGAACATGGGCTTGTGTAGCTTGTGTAGCATGTGTAGCTTGTGTATGCTCTGTGGGCTTATATGAGCTTGTGTGTGCTGTGTGGATGTGTGTATACTGTGTGGGCTTATGTGAACTTGTGTGTACTATATAGGTTTGTGTATATTATATGAGCGTGTGGATGCTATGCGGGCTCATGTGGCTTGTGTGTGCTGTGTGTGCTTCTATGGTTTGTGGGCCTTATGTTTCTCTGGGTCCTTAGGAGGTGGTTCTCACTGTCTTTATTGATTTGTCTACACTAACTTGAAGGCTAGTATAAACATTAAACAGGTAGGGCAACTTGAGATGCCAGGCTTAAAGGATAGGCAGGTGGCAGAAAGAGCAAACAGCTTCTAGAATATGGTGATAGCACACATTTGTATGTATCTGTTCTCTCAGAAACCATATCTCATGCTAGGAATTCAATTCAAGATTCCTTATTTTCCGTGAGGCTTCTACAAAAAATACAATAATTTGATTTGAAAATACCATACCCAGCCGGGAGGTGATAGTGCACACTTTTAGTCCCAGCACTGGGGAGGCAAAGGCAGAGGCAGGCAAATCTCTGAGTTCAAAGGCCAGCCCGGTCTGCATAGCCAGAGCTACACAGAGAGAAAACCTGTCTTGAAAAACAACAACAACAAAAATACCATACCCATTCTATCTTCATGTGGCAACAGGCTTGATGGAGGGGAGGAGCTCATGGTGAAGCCGGGCCTGTCCCACTGTGGTCTTAACCTTCCTCAGCCCTACAGTGAGCAGGACTAGAGGCATACCATTCATAGCTGCAGAAATAGTGGAACAGTGACATCTCTATCTGTCTTTGAGGGTTTCTTTGTTTTGTGTAATGGAGCCTGCCTTATAAACCAGGATTTCTTCCCGTGAGGACTGCTGATCCTGTTGGAGAAGCTTTTCTAGCCACAGCTCTGGCTGCTAGAGTTTCCCGAGGAGTGTCGGCTGGGAAGTGAGTGCTTCCAGGCATAGTGAGTGAGTCAGGTCTGGAAACCACAGAGACAACCATGCAGGGGGAGGGTGGAGAGGGAATGGGTGTCCTGAGAGCTGTGGGTTAGGGACGATGAGTTTCTGAAGTCTTTGTCACTCCTTCCTCTCTGCTCCCAGGGTGAGCCTGGTGGAGGGGGCGGCTGCTGCAGCTTTCCCAGTCCCTGTCAGTGCATTCCAGCTTGCTGCCACATGACACTCCAAGCCAGTCCTTTCCCAGCTCAGCTAAGTTGTCCTAAATCTGATGTTCTGTTTCCTTTAAAGAATTTTCCTGTAAGGTGGACTTTGTTTTGTTTTATTTTTTGAAACAGGATTTCTCTGTGTAACAGTTCTGGCTGTCCTGGAACTCACAGAGATCCGCCCGCCTCTGCCTCTGCCTCCCAGGTCCTGGAATTAAAGGTGTGTATGGTGGACTCTCGAGGAAAGGGTTTTGTTTTGTTTTGCTCTATAAATGGAGTATCCTCAATGCTTAAGACTTGGATAAACCGTATCAGAGTTCCTCAGCAACCGTTTATTGAGCATCTACCATGGGCCATGAGCACTGTTAGATGCTGCAGCTACAAAACTGCACAAGACACAGCCCTCTTTGCAGACCATGTAGTGAGATGGGAACAAAGGCTCCAGCCATCTAAATAGGGCTTTGTTGGCCACCTTTGAGGACAAAAGAAGATGAAAACTCCCGTGTGTGCTGTTTGGAATTCATTAGATCTCTCTCATCTGGTTTGAGATTCAAGCAGATGACACTGGGAAAGTGACTGACTCTGTCCTCCCCTTCCCCCAGGGCGGCCTTTCAGCAGCCCCTGCGAGGGCTGTGTCTGCTGTGAAGAGCATGAACCTTCCTGAGATCCCGAGGAACATCAACATCGGCGATCTCAACATCAAAGTTCCCAACCTGTCCCAGTTTGTGTGAAGGTGGAGGACTGGGCTGAACTGGGGTCCTTCAGATGAGCAACCACCGGAACCCTGTTGAGCCCCTAGAGTCGCACCTTGGGACACTTTCACAGAGTGGGAAGGGAGTTGGGTGCACGCTGCTTGGCCATCCTGCTGCTCTCTGATACACATGGCTGTGGTGGACATCAGCGCACTAAGCCTCCCACACACAGCTACCCTTGGGGTTGGGGACTGTGGAACAAGCCACCTGCTCCCCAGGGCCCCACCACTGGAACTGAACACATCTGACTTCCTCCCTAGCACCCAGGGCTTCTGAGATCCTATATCACTCAGTGGGCAAGAGACCAGGGAGAAGGGCCAGCCTTTCAGATGACAGGTGTGTGGAGTGGCAGGGTGTATGGTGGCTCTGCTAGGGCCTGTACTCCTAGAACCCCTTTGCATAACCAAGCCTTTTGGTCAGCAGTTGCTGCAGAGCACATTTTCCCCACTGGCATGTTCCCAGTTTTGATGCCACAAGCATCTATGTGCTAGACACAATTTAAAGCATGCTTTGGGTGCATGTCACTACCCCAGCCAATAGGGAGGGCACCCACCCACACCCACACATACCCCAAAACCCTGTTCCAGATGAGACCGGTGTCTATAGAATATCAAGGCTGGATCTTCCCAGAGTTATGACTCTTCCCAAGTTTAAAATATGTTGTCCTCCTGGAAGCAGAAGGTTCAGAGGCTGTGTTGTGAGTGATGAATCATTTCCCCTTGCTCAGAAACCCACTGAGAAACCCAGTCTCAGATTCTAGAACTGAGAGCCTGAACTGGGTGCTATGTGGGCTGAGCCTGTAGCATGCTAGCCATAGTGTCATAGTATTCTCCAGTCTGTATCCTGCAGTGAGCACACTGGGCTCCTTTGGACGATGTTCTCCCATAGCTTTGGAAACCTGTAAACGTTAACCTGTGCTGAGTCTTCTTTTTGTCACTGATTTAGAGCTAACACGGCTGCTGGGAGCATGCCCTCTTTTCCATGCTGTCAGCTGGATGTCAGGCATGGTGTGGTGAGGGACTGAGTCACATTCATGGGGCACCTTCCCTCCTGCTGGCCAGGGCCCGAGTCCATTTCCCACAGCCTTGTGATGCTGCTGAAGGTCCTAGAAGCTTGTGTCAAGACCCAGCCTTTCTCATTTTCCAGTGGGGTTTCTTGCACTTTGCCCATTGCTGCCCACATTGTCTTGTTCCCATCTTTTCAGTCCTCTGTTGGAACCGCAGTAATGGGCAGTTTGCTAGAGGACAAGATCTGAGACCAAATCACTAATGCCATCCTCTTGAAGCATTTTATTTTTATTTTATTGCCCCTTTTACAATGACTGGATATGAAGAAAACCAGTGTTTTTTTTTTTTTTTTTTTTTTTTTAGTTTTTTGTTTGTTTGTTTTTTTGCATCTGTTGTAGGGTGACATGAGCATGATCCTTTAACAGTCCTTGCCACAGACATGTTATCTTTTTAAGATTTATTTTAACGGGTGGTGGTGGTGGTGCCAGTACTTGGGAGGTAGAGGATGGCAGATCTCTGAGTTGGAGGCCAGCCTGGTCTACAAAGCAAGTTCCAGGACAGCTGTTACGTAGAGGAACCCTGCCTGGAAAACAACAACAACAAATAAAACAAAAGTTTTACTTGTGCTGTGCTTTTGTGTATATGAGGCCAGAGGAGGTTCTGTGTACCCTCCGAGGCCAGAGGAAGGTGTAGAATTCCCTGGAGCTGGAGTTACAGGAGGTTGAGAAGCCACCCAAAACATGGGTGCTGGGCATCTAACTCAGGTTCTAGCAAGAGCAGCAATGCTCTGAACTGGAGCCATCTCTCCATCCCAGCCACAGATATTCCTAAGCACATTTTGTTGCCAAATGAAGCAGACTTGAGACAGGTAAATTGCTTCTAGGTCATGCAGAGCTAAAGTCTGAAACATGCCCTGCCTGGCTCCAAAGTCCTTGTTTCTCCTTACTACTGTAGATGGCTTCTCCCAGTTTTACAACCCTCTCTTTTATAGATGACAGACAGGGAAACTGAGTCTCAAAGGGATTAAGCCACTCTAAAACTAATAGAAGAGGCTTGATTTTTAAAGTAGCCAGCCTAAGAACTGGAGGTCCTCTGTGTCCCTCCATTAACTGCCCGAGATGAGGCAACCCAGACTGTCCAGTTGGGGGTCACAGTGTTCTGAAGTGTTTGCTATTGGCTGAAGGTACCATTGAGCAGGAAGTACTGGGCTTCCTGGGTAGTTTGTATTTCAGGTGTTTGCATGCTAGAAACTACTTTGTTGTCCAAATTTATGGCCTGGCACTGTAGATTGCAAAAGCAAGCACCAGACAGTGGCTTGCACCACCCCCCTTAGAGTGTTGCTTTGGGATTGGAAAACTCAATTCTTCTAGTGGAGCTGGAGGGATTGATTAATTAGTTGTTAATGACTTGCAGCAAGTTTGTCTGCTGTCAACAAAGCTGTAGTCTGAGATCCAGCTCTACCTCCCTTTCCCCTTTGTGTTTTGAGTCCTCAGTCCTCCTGCCTCACCTCCACAATTGCTCTGTGCACTTTCCCCGTGAGTAGTTAGAGAAAGTCCTGGTCTTTTTGGAGAGGAGTGTCCCCTCTCAGTTATGCAACCAGGGGCCGAATTTGTGTTTGCTTTGGGATCCTGGGTTTTCTCACTGCCACAAGTTAAAAACTGGAACCCTCCCACTGCCTATTGTCTGTGAGTGCCCGATGAGGGTCAAGCTTGATCCTAAACTGAGAGAAGCTCGCTGTGTGTCACTGTCTTGGAGCTTCCCTGGAACATGACAATCTGAATGGCAACCTGGAGCTGTGGAGGCCAGACTGGTGCCTGCCCACCAGGGACATGCCCGCTGTTCAAGGTGCTGGACAGATGACCTTCCCCCAAGCCTGACCATTGCCCCATATAGGTTACCTTGAGGAAATCATGAGTCTCTCAGCCCTTGAGTATTCATGCTCTGCCACATTCAGAGCCAGCCCTCCTCCCTCATCACTACAGAACCAGCCCTCCTCCCTCATCTACAGAGCCAGCCCTCCTCCCTCATCTACAGAGCCAGCCCTCCTCCCTCATCTACAGAGCCAGCCTAGCCATTTTCTCTGTGACCTCAGCTTCAGCAAAGAAACTAGGAGAAATGGCTCAAACCAGGTCCCTGGCTTAATCTGTGGCCTAGCCTGTGGAGGCTTTGCTTAGCATGGCCATCTGTTATCTGTCCATGTCTTTTCAAAGGGGACCCAGGGATAGGTACATGAAAGTAATGCTACAGAGTAGGGTTTTGCCCACCTTTACAACAGTCAGGATGGAGTATTGAGACCCACCCAGAAGAGTATGGGCTCTCTGCAAACATCCTGAATGTCTGTGTGCTGACCACCCAGAGTGAGACAGCTCGCTGTGGGAGCTATTTGCCTCTCGGAAGCTCTGGAGTGTTCTTCACCTGCACCTTCTGGCAGAAGTGGCTGTTGAGGAAAAAGCTTGTTGCAAATGATTAATCCTTTCCAGAGTTCTTTCCAAATTGGAAATATATTCACGTAGTTCAGTATTTTTATATGGGAGGTGAGGTGTCCTCAGAGACCAGAAGGCTTTGGATCTCTTGGAGCTGGAGTTAATTGGTTATAAACTGCCTGACATGAGAGTTCTGGGAACCAAACTTAGGGTCCTCTAGAAGAGCAGCAAGTGATCTTAACTGCTGAGCCGTTTCTCAGGCCCCATGCAGTTCACATTAAAAAACCAGCAAAAGACTTAGCCTATCCCAGCCGTTGAGCACTGTCCCTCCTGACAGCAAGTGTTTGCAATTTAACGGAGTAAGGAACAAGCATCCTTCCTCTTCACATTCAAAGCTGAGGCATAGCTTTAGCTAACCTCAGCCCAGTACAGTCCTGCTGTCCTCCAGAGGTGCAGAGTCCTCTGCACATGCCCGTGCACACACATACACACACTGTGAAAACAGCAGCCTTACTATTCCTCAAGGCACTGTGGTATCACGTTAAGTTGTCTGTAAGCCCTCGAAGCCTTACTATTCCTCAAGGCACTGTGGTATCACATTAAGTTGTCTGTAAGCCCTCGAGGGCAGGGGTCAGCCTCCTATCTAGTGCTGTAACCCCACTGCCCTCACCAGCCCTGTCCAAACTGTTCAGTAAAGAATGGTAGTGAGTGGCTGGCCCAGGATAGCAGAACCTCATCTGTACAGCCTCTCTGGACCTGTACTCATAGGACAGAGAAGAGGGGGTGGGAAGGCCCTGTATTGAGATGCAGGCATGTTAAGTTGGAGTTGCCTGGGGGGGGGGGGGGTGCCTGCTGGCGAATGAGTGAACATGAGACTGACATGTATGGAGTTGTTTAGGCCCAATTAGAGTGGGGTCATATAAGGACTCCCCTACTTTCTTTGATAAATAACCTTTAGGCCTTTTCAAGACCAGAGTTTGTATTTTTGCCAGTTATGCCATAAGACTGGCATCCTGGGAGCATTTGGGGGCAGGCTGGAGGTTGTCTTCTGCATGACACAGAACAGTTTTTGCAAGCTCCTGAGAGAAAAGTACAGCTAAAATACTGAAAAGGAGTTACAGTTACAGTTGTCAAACATGAGTTCTGCTGGGCTGTGGTGGCACACACCTTTGATCCCAGCACTAGGGAGGCAGAGGCAGGAGGATTTCTGTGATTTCAAGACCAGCCTGGTCTACAGAGTGGGTTCCAGGACAGGCTCCAAAACCACAGAGAAACCCTGTCTCAAAAAAAAAAAAACAAAAAAACAAAAAAACAAAAAACAAAAACATGAGTCCCCAAGTCCCTCAGACTGAGAGACTCAAGGTCCAGATGCTCCCCGATTTAGAACAGGGTTTTGCTCCCATAACACCATCACCATTTGGAAATGGCCTCAGTTGAAAATGTAACCGAATGGCCTATGCTGGGTAGCTCACTATAGCATCACAGTGATCCACATGGAGCTGTGGAATGGATGGGGCTGTGTTTGCTGCCTCTGCCCAGCCTGCCCAGATGATTGTCCTGCACATTCCTAGACCTGGCTTGATCCACAGCTAAAGGAGTTTCTGTGTGTGTTTTTACACCATCTGACTTACCAACCTTCATGAGTTAAGACCCCCATCGCAGTGGAGGTACACTGATTTGGGGGACAAGAGACAATGGGTAGTAGACTGACCTTGATGCCTCTTCAAGGTGACAGATGGGTGTGGGGACACATGGGTCTCTGCTCCTGGGGCTGCACCTCAGTCTCTGCTGTTCTGGAAGAAACAAAGAAAGCCCTGTGGTTGCTCCTGTGGCTTCCTTGGTTAGCTTGCCTCTTGCCCAAGAGGGACAAGTGTCATCCCACAGTGGACCTTTGCAGTTGGGGTCATGAGATCAATCGCTACAATGCCAGGGCATTTTCCCACTATGAAAGCAGTCCCACCCTTCTCCAGCCTCCAGTGCTGGGCACTGGGCATTCGACAACTCTCACCTGGTTCTGGCTGCAGGCCGTCTGAGCCACACTCCCTGGCCAGAGGTAGCTGCAGGCCAGAGACAGCAACATTGGGCCTGTGGTGCAACCTGTTTCCTGTTTCAGCAATGATTTCCACACCAAAGCATAGTGTTTGAGCTGACAACTTTGAAACCAGCTTTTCCAGATCTTTAAGGATTGAAGGTTTGGTTAGCCCCACCTCTACATCGGTCCTGAGGTAGCATCCACCTCCTGTTTGAATCAGGTCCTTGGGGGACATTTATCCTAGCTCTATTTGTGTTTTTCTACTCTTTGAGCCTGCCTTTCCCTGGGACCTACTACATTACCTGGTGGCTATTTAAATGTGATGAATGTAACACAATTGAAAGGAAAGCCTAATAGTAATGATGTAAACACAGCACGTTTTTAAGAGATGGTTCAGTGGTTTAGAGCACTTGCTGCTCTTCCAGAGGATCCAAGTTGGGTTCCCAGCACCCAAAACAGGCAGCTCACAACCATCTGTAACTCTAGCTCCAGGGGATCCAACAACCTCTTCAGGCCTCAGTGAGCCCCCAAACACACAGGATATGAGGGTGTATACAAGCATACACAATGGAGGGGGGCTCTATAACACACACACACATGCATGCACATACACACACACACACACACACGCGCGCGCGCACATGCATGCACGCACGCACGTGCACACACTTGTTAGGTCTCAGGCCTAGGGCAATGGCTAACTGGGGTGCCTATTTAACATATCAAAGCAGACCTGCTGCCCACATTCTCCTAGTTTCCCTCAGTCCCTACCTATTATAAGGTTATGCTGGCTGACATATCCTGCCCTCTACCATGAACTCCAGCCCAGGGGCTGGGCTTCTCCCTCAGTCTCTGATCCCTACACAG